TTTTTTTTTTAAGTTTTTATTTTTGTCTGTGCAGGGTCTTCAAGGGGAAATACCAGCTTTTTCAAGTTGCAGCGCTCGAATTTAGTCGTGTCTGACTCTTTTGAGACCTCATGGACTGTAGTCCACCAGGCTCCTCTGTCTATGTGACTCTCCAGGCAAGAATACTGGTGTGGATTATTATTTCCTTCTCCAGGGGCTTTTCCCAACCCAGGGATCAAACCCACATCTTCTGCATTGCAGGTGGATTCTTTACCGCTGAGCCACCAGGGAAGCCCTTGGGATGCATTCAGGTGGTTAAATGTCTAGGGCAGAGGACACGCACTGTAACATTCACCAGGTGCCTCCCAGGTGCCTGTGCCATTCCAGACAGCTGTCTCCCCTGATCCTTGCAAAGACAGGCAAGGGTAGCACATAGAGTGCTTTTCAGATGCGTCTCAGTGAGGTTAAGCCCTTACGCAGGGCCCAGTGGACAGGAAGGGATTGAACCCTGCCTTTTGTTATATTGTGCTGTCACTAGCTTTCCCTAGTGAATGACCATTAGTGGACATGAGCACTCTGCTTTGATCCTGTCTTCTGGGGAGCAGCAAAGGGGTTGCTGTGTGTCCACCTCACTATTGCCAGTGAGAGCAACTTTTGAGGTCCCCACCTGCCACTAATGGGGCAGAGGCTTCAAGGCCAGAAAGGAAAGCAGCCAGACCTCCATGACCTGAAAGTAGCTGCTTTCAAATCCAATAAAGGTGTCTTTTCAGCATTCCAAAGTTGGCATAGTGTGCATAAGGATAAAGCCATTCTCCTTAGAAATGTCTCTGTGTGGGCCACAGAGCTGCTTATAGCCCTGTACCACCAGAGGCTCTGTTCTTTCAATCTGTTGTGTTTTAGTTGCTAAATTGTGTCCAACTCTGCAACCCTGTGGACTATAGCCCACCAGGGACCTCACCCATGGGATTTCCCAGGCAAGAAGACTGGAGTGGGCTGCCATTTCCTTCTGCAAGGGATCTTTCCGGCCCGGGGATTGAACCCATGTCTCCTGCATTGACTGGCAGATTCTTTAACACTGAGCCACCAGGGAAACCCTGTTTTTTTATTAGATCTTTTTCTTTTTCTATTTTATTATGATTAATTTATATACTTTCACTCCTCTTCATACACTAATAAGAGTACACCAGCCATGATTTCCTCTGAGCTCTACTTTAATAGGATCCCTCAGATTCTAATATATGGAATGTTTTCTATATTTTATTTTCTAGATACTCTTCAATTTCTATATAGGTCTCCTTTTGATCCAAGTTGTTTACAATAGAGTTTTTAAAAATGTCCAAAGATAGAATTTTGTCAGCCATAATTTCGTGATTAATTTCTAGCTTTTTTTCTGTATTATTAGATTCTATATTATTTCTGCTTTTTGGGTGAGGTTTTATTTGTGGCCTAATATATGGGAACTCTTTTAGAAATACATATACATTAATTGGCTTCCCTGGTGGCTCAAAGATAAAGAATCCACCTGCAATGCAAGAGACTGCGCGCAATGAAGGAAACATGGGATCAGTTCATGGGTTGGGAAGATCCCCTGGAGGAGGGCATGGCAACCCACTCCAATATTCTTGCCTGGAGAATCCCATGAACAGAGGAGCCTGGTGGGCTCCATGGGGTCAGAAGGGTCGCACACGACTTAACAACTAAACTTCTTCCACTAACTACTACTATACATAAATTAAGTCTGTCTTATTAAGTATGCAATTTTGGTTTTTCTGTGTTTTTACTTAATTTGGTCGGTTGATCTGTCATGAGCTAAAAGAGGTGAATTAAAATGATCTGCCTTTACTGGGTATCTGATCTTCCTTGTATTTTCTGTAGCATTGAATTTTAGGGTTGTTAATGTAGTTAGTCTTCAATTGTGGATTATATTCTTCATTGTTATAAAGTGTTCTTTGTCTCATTTAAAATCATTTGCCCTTAATTAACTTTAGTTGGAGAAGGAAATGGCAACGCACTCCAGTGTCCTGGCCTGGAGAATCACAGGGACAGAGGAGCCTGGTGGGCTGCCGTCTATGGGGTCACACAGAGTTGGACACAACTGAAGCGACTCAGCAGCAGCAGCAGCCTAATAAGGTTACAGAACCTGCTTAGTTTGAGGTTGCACTTATTTGGTATATATTTGCTTTTCCTGTTATTTTCAACATTGTTGAATTACTTTGCTTTGGGAGTATCTCTTAAACACGGCATATGGTTGAAGGTTTTGTCTTGTTCCCCAACCTTAAAATCTTTTCTTTTTAGGAGTTTCCTATGGCCATTCATTGATATATATATATAGGATTTTGGTCTTAGTTTTATGTCTTTGTGTTTTTGCTTCTATTGCTTTTTAAAGCAAAATCTTTCAGTGTGTGGTCTGTTTTATTTTGTGCTGTGTTTTTTATGACAATTGGGAAGGTTTGTGTTTATTTTGAGTTCTTCTGGAGGTTGCCTTTGAACTGTGTAAAATGTATTTAATCTTTTTTTTTCTGAAGGCTGTACTAGTTGTCTCCCTTATGAAATAAGTGATTGTAAAATTAGTTTACAAATTTGGTCACAGTTTTCGTCTGTTTTGTGACAGCTTTTTTTCTGGTGAGCTTTCTTGGTTTGCCATCTTTTTTCCTGTTCTTTTCCTCATTTCTTTCTTTTCCAGTATCTTTGACTATGTCATGTGCTGCTTCTCTTTGGAAGAGGTGGACCTTCCTGATCAGCATTTTGCAGGTAGTGTGTGTAAAGGAAATGCCATGAGGTATTTTGGGAGAGCAGGATTGCTTCCTGGTTCATGGTAACTTTGTTCATAGGCCTGTGGCAATGATTTGTTCTAGCTTCTACTCAGTCAGCAGGGATCTGTAGCCATGGGCTTCCCACAGTCCAGGCCCTTCTACTATTCTGCCTCACCAGCAGACTGCTTCCTGTGAAGATGGCGGACGGTAGTTTTCTCTGTTGGTCCCATCCTCCTCTTTCTCTATAGTGTCAGAGGCAGATCCCATCACTGGACCACAGACCCTGTACCCATTGGTCTTGATTAGGAATCTTCGTTTTTCTTCTTCAGGGAGTGCCAGCTACTGGCTGACTCTGCCGTCTTTATCAGCGATCTGCAGCCACAGTTGTCTTCTGTAGGTGTTTACTCACACCTCGTTTGATCTTCACTGCCTTTGGCAGCTCTTGACCGGTTTTTTGGCAGCCTTTCCTTATAAGTTGTGGTTTGGATTACAAATGTGTTCTAGTTTTGTTGAAGATAGAATCTGCATTCCCATTTCTCTTTCTCCTTTATTTTGGGAGATTTTGGATATGAAAAGGAGTAACTATTTTGCTATCTTAGAAATGTCAAGTGTTGCATATTTTTACGTATGCTGGTATCCCCTTAGATTAAACATTAGCCAGAGCTCTCTGGATAAGGTTGGCATGAGCTGAAGTTGGGGTCTGACAATAGAAAGGAAGGAAAATAGGAGCTGAGAATAAAATTGGAAGGTTCAAAAAGCAATGCACACTATTGCAGCCAATGCCGTATGGCACTTTGGCTGAGACTGTAGCACTATTTGGGTGCGAGGGCGTGGCCAGGCAGAGCAGGGCATGGAAAATGCCTCCTGGTCTGTCTCAGGGGAAAGTGTTCTGAACCTAGCAACTCTCAGACCAGGGAGGGGAAGACACATGCCTTTGCTCTAGATGGGCTGCAGGGCTCAGCTCTCCATCTCTCCCCACACCCAGGGTCCATCCAAACACCCCAAGAACCCTGGACTCTGGCTGGTCTCTTAGTGATGGTGGCCAAGTTCTCCTCCCTGAAAACCAGAGTCCTGTCTCAGAGGAGGCTGTCCAGGGTCAATGCTGTTAATGGGGTTTATACGCTCAAAGACAGAGCTTGCCCATCCAAGGGGAAGGGGTACATGCAAGATGTCCAGAAGATAGAGCCAGAAAGGAAAATCTGCCGGCAGAGTCTCAGGTTTGGATTCTGATATGTGTCTCTTAGCTTCCCATACCACTTGGAGGGAATATTTTATCCCCATTTTATAGACTGGAGTCTTAGAGAGGCTAAGAGAACCTTCCTGTGGACACACAACTAAGAGATGGAGAGAGGGATTTACATATAGTTCTCTCTGGCTCCAGAGCCTGAACACCAACTCTCTCATCACCCTGCTTCCAGTTCACCTTACCATGAGACCTCACCCTATCCTCATATGCTTGCCTTATGCCCTTGTCCTTGTCCCTGGGTGATCTTGGTGGCTCTTTGCTCAGTGTCTAGCTTCTCAAGCCTGATTGCACTTTAGATGCTATTTAAGCTCCCCAGGGCAGCCAAGGATAGGAACCAATGGACCACTCCCTAAACATCTCCAATGTCCCTGTCTTGAGCACCCTGTTCCCCCTACCTAGGGCATAGGGCTTGTTTCTTGGGACCAAGTGCGCTGGGGTTCTCTATGATCGTCAGCAAATCACAACTTCTCTGGGCTCAGTTCTTATTTCTAAAATAAAATAGCCTGTGATTTCTCCAAGAGCAGAACACAAACTCTGAAGCCAGATGGCCTCAGTGTGGATCTTGGCTCAGCCCCTCTTAACTGTGGGACGTTGGTTAATTACTTATCTCCTCTATGACCTATGCATTTCTCATCTATAAAATGGGAATAATAATGAATGTCTTATTGGGAGGGTTTAAGGATTAAATGAACTAATAAATGTGAATCATTTAGAGCAGTGTCTGGCACATGGTGAGTTCTAGATAAGTGTCATATATCATTCTATTCATTAGTTATTATTATGAATGCATGCCCGGGGCCCAGCCAAGGCATGGGCATAGATGGCTGTTGAGGCTGCTGTTACAACCCGTGTCCTTTGCTTCCTTCCAGGAGCTTGGTTCTCTGCCCCAGCCCCGTGGAGGCTGTGGGCGTGTCCAGTCCAGACACCTGGTTTCCAGCCCCGTGGCCCATCCCTGGCTGCGGGGAGTGGAAGCTCCCAGGAGGTAGCGGTGGCCTGCAACGGCCCCGCCCCGGCAGTGAGCCATGGGCCAGAAGCTCTCGGGGAGCCTCAAGTCGGTGGAGGTGCGGGAGCCGGCCCTGCGGCCGGCCAAGCGCGAGCTGCGGGGAGAGGAGCCGGGGCGGCCGGCGCGACTGGATCAGCTGCTGGACATGCCGGCGGCGGGGCTGGCAGTGCAGCTGAGGCACGCGTGGAACCCCGAGGACCGCTCGCTCAACGTCTTCGTCAAGGATGACGACCGGCTCACCTTCCACCGGCACCCGGTGGCGCAGAGCACAGATGGCATCCGCGGGAAGGTGGGCCACGCGCGTGGCCTGCACGCCTGGCAGATCCACTGGCCTGCGAGGCAGCGGGGCACGCACGCGGTGGTGGGCGTGGCCACGGCGCGGGCCCCCCTGCACTCAGTGGGCTATACCGCGCTGGTGGGCAGCGACGCCGAGTCCTGGGGCTGGGACCTGGGCCGCAGCCGCCTCTACCACGACGGCAAGAACCGGCCCGGCGTGGCCTACCCCGCGTTCCTGGGGCCTGAGGAGGCCTTTGCGCTGCCCGACTCACTGCTCGTGGTGCTGGACATGGACGAGGGCACACTCAGCTTCGTCGTGGACGGCCAGTACCTGGGCGTGGCCTTCCGTGGCCTCAAGGGCAAGAAGCTCTACCCGGTAGTGAGTGCCGTGTGGGGCCACTGCGAAGTCACCATGCGCTACATCAATGGCCTTGACCGTAAGTGCAGCCTGCTGTGGGGTTGGGGGGCTGGCAGGGATGGGTCCAGAGGCTGCCTGTCCCTAGTGGAGCTGGAGAGGGAGGAGAGATGGGGGGAGGGGAAGCAGGTGAGGCCCCCATCCGCGGTCAGCACTTGGTATCATCCTGTGGCATGGACTGGTGGTGAGGATGTGGACCCCGACGCCAGGCTCCTGGGTTTGGATCTTGACTTTTTTCTGCTCACTTGGTGATCTTGGGGTGTGCCTCAGTTTCTCTCTCTGCAGAAGTGACTCAATGATAGTAATCTAGGTCAGGGTTGTTATGAGAAATCAAATAAGATAATAATAATGTGAAGTGACCTTGATGCTGGGAAAGACTGAAGGCAGGAGAAGGGGGCAACAAAGCATGAGATGGTTGGATGGCATCACTGATGACATCAATGAACATGAGTTTGAGCAAGCTCCCTGAGAGGATGAAGGACAGGGAATCCTAGCACACTGTAGCCCATGATATCGCAAAGAGTCGGACATGACTGAGCGGCGGAACAGCAAGAACAAACATGCAGTGCTTAGGGCAGTGCTGAGAAGTGTCGGTGATAGTCACAAACCTTTCGGTCTCTATAAAGTGAAAGTGAAGTTGTTCAGTCATGTTCTACTCTTTGAGACCCCATGGACTGTAGCCTACCAGACTGCTCTGTCCGTGGGATTTTCCAGGCAAGAGTCCTGGAGTGGGTTGCTTCCTTCTCCAGGGGATCTTTCCAACCTAGGGATTGAACCCGAGTCTCCTGCATTGCAGACAGATGCTTTACCGTCTGAGCCATCAGAGAAGCCAGTCTCTGTAAGGATTGTGCCAAATGATGTCTCCTGTGTACCTGGCTTCAAGTTCACAGCAGGAGAAGAGAGACAAGTAGAAGACAGAGTCTCTGCACTTGAATCTCTTGCACTCAAGTTACTGATAAATAATAAGTAATGATAGTAACTGTCATTTATTGAATACCTGCTGTATGTAGGGCCTGAACACTCAAATCTAGGTCTTCCTGCCGAACTATCTCTTAGGCGTCTCTCGATTATTGCCTCATGGGAATGAGAGCCAAAAGTTGTGGAATATTCTGACTTCTTTCCAGAGGACCCAGCAATCTAGATTTTGTGCGAACTATTCCCATTTTTCAAGCTGGCAGCTGCTAAAGACATCATGTGGACAAACAGAACTCCCTTGCAGGTTGCAGATAAGCCCACAGGCTGTTGGGTTTGACTCCTGATACGTCTAAGGCTTTCTCTCATTTAATATACACAGTCATCCTGTGAAGCCAGCTTAAAACCCTGGTAACAAAAGCAGTTGTCGATTCTAGGAGGGAGTCACTCAGGGAGGCAGGGTGGCCCCTGGACAGAGGTGCACGTGACTGTCTGCCCCCCGTGGAATCCTGGCTGAGTGGAGCCTGGAGTCAGGCACTTGTGGGCTTGCACATACCTTGTCCACTTGACTTATGAAGCCATACCCTTGATGAAGCTCCTGAGGTGGGCATTTAAAGCCAGAATTCCAGCTTATTAACTTTAAACCAGAGATATATCTGCCCCCTTTCAGAGAAGAGGAAACTGAAGAGCAGAGCTTCCCAAGAACAAGAACCCAGGCCTACCCAGTTCTCTCAGCTCTGAAGCCCACTCTTTTCCCGCGCTCCCACCTTAGCTGAGGGACTGAGAGGAACACTCCAGAAAAGAGGTCAAGGATAAGATTATACTCAAGTAAAACTGACGTTGACTCGAGCTAGGGTGGGCTGACCGTTTTCAAGGGTGACTGTCCACCAGGAAGTGGCTGCTGTGCTCTGCTCTGTGGTTTAATTGGCGACACTTTTGCTCACATTTCATTTCCGTGGTCGTTGGACTCAGATTGACATTGAATGGCAAAGTGTTGTTCTGTTTTTTCTCTGACTGACTGGTTAGATAAAGAAAGGATGAACATGGAGAAGGAAATGGCAACCCACTCCAGTGTTCTTGCCCGGAGAATCCCAGGGACAGGGGAGCCGGGTGGGCTGCCGTCTATGGGGTCGTAGAGTTGGACACGAATGAAGCGACTTAGCAGCAGCAGCAGCAGCAGTGATGCTGCTGAGAAGCATCAGTCAGTTCATCTTGTGATTTGAATAGTGTTTAACATTGTGTAAGAGAAATTAAGCTGAAAAAAAAAAAAAAAAAAGAAAGGATGAACATTTGTCCTGAGATGGGCTAGCTTAGTCACCACAGTGCCTAGTGGAGAATGCTGGGTGACGTGGTAACCAGGCAAACCCCAGTGCCGAGAAAACCAACACCAACAGCAAATTTTATTTTTGTTAACAAATACTCTTGTAAAATGGAACTGGGAAATCTACTTGCCAGAGTTGCTCACTGGACTAGAAGGGTGGCCTTGACGTACCAAGGCTCTGGGTTCTGACATGGCTTATCTCCCACTGCATCCTCAATGCTCAGTGGTTTTGTGTCTTTGGTGAGCCACTCTAATGCCTCAGGGCTCATTTTACTCATCTGTAAAAGGGAACAGTAGCAGGTCCCTTTCATAGCTGCTGTGAAATCTCATGCAGTGGCACCAATAATATGATATCTGGGATGCAAGGATAGCATTGATACCAAGCAGAACTACCTGAGCCAACAGTTGGGCCCCCAAGGTGGGCCTTCCCTTGGTTATTGATTCCACTTGGGTATTACCTGCTGCTTCATTTTTAGCTACAAGCTAAGGTGCAACTTCACTTTCACTTTTCACTTTCCTGCATTGGAGAAGGAAATGGCAACCCACTCCAGTGTTCTTGTCTGGAAAATCCCAGGGATGGGGGAGCCTGGTGGGCTGCCGTCTTTGGGGTTGCACGGAGTCAGACATGACTGAAGTGACTTGGCAGCTTGGCAGCAAGGTGCTAACAGTGTTGCAGGTAGTGGCTCCCCCACGCCGGATATGATCAAGAGCAGTCAGGCCTTGATGTTCTGCTGAGGGCAGAGTCTGGATGGGAAAGGACACTCCTATTCCGAGCATCTGGGGCTTGTGGATCCTTCAGGTGCCTGGAGACGCTTGGTGAGGCTGAAACTTGGGACGTTCCATCCTTCCCTTTGGCAGTGATTTTTTTTCGGGTTGGCAGAGGCTAGAATGCCCATCCAGGAGGCAAGGGGAGGCCGGGATGTCATGTCATATGAGCAATGGGCATTTCCCATTGGGTAACAGGATTGACTTGAGTACTGTGGTATTGGCCCCTTCTCAGATAGTAGTGATGTTTTCTATCTTGGGCAGGGTGTGATTGCCAAAGGGGGAGCTCAGCTTTTCTGGGCTTTGAAAGACCCATGGTCAGTGGGACCTGACTATAGGGTAGACCACCAAAGGACAGGCCGAGGGGAGTCTGACAGGGACTGGTGGGGAGGGGACTGTGCAATGCCTATAACTAGTAGCCTGGGCTGAAGTCCAGTGGATTCCTGGACACTGAGAGGGGTTTGGCCCTAGGGAGTCCCTGGGCAGGTAGGGTGACCCAAGATGGATTTCTGAGTATGAGAAGTTTGAGCAGCACTGGTTGTGGACATGAAGGCAGGTCCCCAAATTCAGCCCTGACCAGGGGATTAGGAGACTGCAGTCACAGAGAGGTTATGGAGCAGAGAGGCAGACGGAGTTCCTCTCTGGGATGGATTGATTCCCCACAGGATCACGGTGAGGAAAAATATGGGCTTAGAGTCTGGCCCCAACACTCACCAGGAGGCCGTGGACAAGGATTACCTCTTCCCTGTGGACCGCAGTGTTCTCCTTTGTGAAACAGCTGTGGTGAAGCTCGCCGGCACAGAGCAAGCCCACAGCGACTGCTGCTCACTGCTTTGATTAACTAGGCGAGCTGGGCCAGGTCCGGGGGTTCACCTAAGGATAAAAATCAAAGTGGCCTCAATAGAGCCTTCTCCTCCAATATGTAGGAAGGAAGTTAAAGGACATAATTTTCTCAGTTTTTTAATTTTTACGACTATAAAAGCAAGACTTAGAAAGAGCTAACTGCTTGTGACTCTGAAGTATGTGTTTGTGGAGGCCAAGAGCTCCTAGAAGCGCATTTTCCTGTTACAAATGTGTTCTTCAGCTACACCCTGGAGCAAAACAGCTCAGCATCTGGGGTAGGGGGTTTACAGTAAAGAACTACAGGATGCCCAGGGACTCTGCCATCTGAATGAATTGAGAAGCACAGAACCGAGGCCGGGCAAACTGGCAAGCTGGCTCAAGGTACCTGTGTCTGGGGCCAAATAACAGCAGTGACACCATCACCCATAACTGACACTTCTCTGGTACCTAGTGGGGGCTGGACTAGATTCTAAGTACATTTTAATTCATTTAATCCTTGTAACAACTCTTTATAGCTCACAACCTGTATGATCATCTTCATTTTCCCGTGAAGAAGTTGAAGCCCAGAGAGCTTGAGTAAGTTGCTCAAGGTCACATAGCTAATAACAGGATCAAACTGAGGCAGGCTGGTCCAGTGGGTACCTTGTACAGATGTTTACTGATAAAAGGGAAGGAACAGGAGAGGATGCTCCATCGGGCTGGGTGGCTACTCAGCAAAGGATGGAACCCTTTCCTTTGGCAGTGAGTTTGGTGGAAGTCCTGAGAATCTGTCCCTCCCATTGGTTTCACCTCCAGCCCTCAAAGCTCTTGGCTTAGCACAGAGCTCTGCAGGATGTTCTGAAAAGTTTTGCATAAAGACAGCCCCAGCAGTGTCTGTGAATCAGGCGTGCTTTGGTCGCTCACAGGAGAATGTCACTGAAAGCATCTCAACCGCTGTGAGGGTCGTCCCTGGGGTGGGCCCAGCCTTTGGAATCTGTTCCAGGCTGGTTTCCGGAATTGCTCCCCGGCCCCCGGCTCCTCCTTTCACATGCTGGCGGCCAGGAAGCCTGACAGAACGGCTTTGTCTCCTGTCTTGGAATTCTTGGGTGGTAAGTAGTATGTGAGGGCTTTCCAGATGGCTCAGTGGTAAAGAACCTGCCTGCCAGAGTGTGAGACATAAGACATGTGGGTTCGATCCCTGG